AAGAATGGAGTCATAAGAATATAACCACTACTGGGAATTCCCTTGTATAAAAGAAGCCAAGAGCTGGAGGCCAGGGTTAAAAAAGAATATAATGTAGTTGAAAAAGATTGTTAAGGCCGGGCGGAGTGGCTCACGCCTGTAATCCCAGCACTTTGGGAGGCCGAGGTGGGCGAATCACGATGTCAGGAGATCGAGATCATCCTGGCCAACATGGTGAAACCCCATCTCTACTAAAAATACAAAAATTAGTTGGGCATGGTGGCACATGACTGTAATCCCAACTACTCGGAGGCTGAGACAGGAGAATTGCTTGAACCAGGGTGTCCGAGGTCGCAGTGAGCCAAGATCAAGATCGCACCACTGCACTGTAGCCTGGTGACAGAGCGAGACTCCATCTCAAAAAAAAAGAAAAAGAAAAAGATTGTTGAAAATCCATGAACCTTTGGTACCAACATAAAAGTAGAGACAACTGTGTAGCACAATTTATATTATAGGCCACCTGGTCAAATGTTGGAATCGATAACATGGTGATGTGTACAATGGCAAAATACAAGATCAGGTTGTGGGTGCAAGGGCTTCAATTAACTAGACATCTGCTGAAAGCTGCATTCTCTAAAAGTTGAGTGGAAAAATTACTGACTTGCCTTGCTGACAATATAAACTTTCATATGGTAAATAAAGCAGTAAGGGGAAATGCAATCTCAAATCGAATTCTGACAAGAGTGCTTAGCAACTGAAATACCAGGACCCTAAGGAGAAAAATCACTGTACCATCTTTTAGTTCAAATTCACTGAGAAAGAAATGATGAGAAGAACAAAGTTTGTATCTTAAACTTTAAAATAGTAGTACTCTAAAAATCCAGAAAAATGAAATATATGGCTGTAATGGGTTGAAATGTGTCCCCCTCCCAAAATTTATATTAAGTCCTAACACCCAGTGCCTCAGAATATATATAATTAGTTAAGATGAGGTCATAGTGGAGTAGAATGGGCCCCTAATTCAATATGACTGGTGTACTTATAAAAGGAGAAATTTGGAGCTAGACACAGAGGGCGAATGCCATGTAAGAGGAGGGCAGAGATTTAGGTAATGCTTCCAGAAGCCAGGCAATGCCAAAGACGGCCAGCAAACCTCCAGAAGCTAGGAGAAAGGCATGGAACAGATTCCTCCTCACAGCCCTCAGAAGGAACCAACCCCCTTGACACCCTGATCTTGGACTTCCAGCTTCCAGAACTGTGAGACAATAGTTGTTTAAGCCACCCAATTTGTAGCACTTTGTTATGGCAGCCCTAGGAAACTAATACAATGACTTCAAGGCCTGACACAGTAATTGGAAAGATGACTCAAGAAGGTTGAAAGCTCTTAGGAAATCTTGCAATTACAGAAAGTTCTGACGAGGCAGGAAAAGAAAGTATCCAAAAAACCAGTATGATCACTAGGAGATGTGTATGGTTTTCAAAAGGGAAAAAAGTGAATTTTGTAAAGTAGAATCTTTATGTTGATTCTGAACCAAATTCTAGGAATGGATTATCAATGAACTATTTATAATTACTTTTAAAAAAAAGCACTGATTCCTATAATAAGTCACAGCAAAGTAACTATAAAACCCTTGGTGATGCAGTTAATTATTTGAAAGACTGGCAAATAGTGGATTAAAATGACTGACAGAGATTTAGAAATATGGGCCTGGTGAGTTTTAGTGGGAAGACTCATAACCAGTATAGATGAACAGATTGATCTTTTTCTTCAGAGAGGTTTATGTTATTTTGCTGTAGGTCTTTGTCTTTAGCTCTGGCTTGTTCAACATTTTTTTAAACAAAGAATCACATGAGAACAATCATCAAATGTATGGATGACAAAAGGCTTGCAAAACAGCAAATGCACTGCTAGACAGAATCAGGGTCCAAAGGTCTAAAATACCAGTCCACATCCCAAAACATGAGATTTCCTAGTTATAACACTGCTAGTGGGTCCAAAAAGCAACCATCAAGGCCAGTATGTTTTTAAGAACAATAGCACATATGAAGCAGACAGGGACTTCAAATGATATTAATCTCCACATGGGTTAACCTAGTGATGGAGCCGAATGCAGTTTTAGGCTGTGAGAACACCTAGAGTGCTGGGTTCAACTCTGTGGAGTGTTCACAGTGATAAGGATGGTGAGCGGACTACAACCATTTGAACTGGGGATATTCAGAGTTAACTAAAGGCAGGAAAAGAAAGTATCCAAAGGGCCAATATTGGGGATGTGTATGGTTTTCAAAAGGGAAAAAAGTGAATTTTTTAAAGAGTGAATTTTGTAGAAAGCAAGCCTGACAAGAGTTTTTCCTGAAGGGTTTTAGGTGTGGGAGATTACACTTACGTTCTAACCTCAGAGGATAGAGCTAGGGCCAATAAGTCAAAGTGGTGGTCAATATGAGAAAGCAACACATAGAGTTGCTCCCAAATGTAAGGGATTATTTTGGGGGAAGAAATGAGTTTCCCATTACTGATGATATTCAAGCAGAAACAAGATTACTTGCTTAGTGTGTACATATGTGTGTGTGTAATTTTTTTGAGATGGAATTTTGCTCTTGTTGCCCAGGCTGGAGTGATCTCGGCTCTTGTTTTGCTCTTGTTGCCCAGCAATGTTGCGATCTCGGCTCACTGCAACCTCTGCCTCCCGGGTTCAAGTGATTCTCCTGCCTCAGCCTCCTCAGTAGCTGGGACTGCAGGCGTGCACCACCACGCCTGGCTAATTTTAGTATTTTTAGTAGAGACAGGGTTTCACCATGTTGGCCAAGCTGGTCTGGAATTCCTGACCTCAGGTGATCTGCTTGCCTCAGCCTCCCAAAGTGCTGGGATAATAGGCATGAGCCACCGCGCCCGGCCTACTTAGTATCTTTTTAAGACTATTCATCATTATATGGGGATGAGAGGAAAAGTCTAAGATTCTGTGACTCTATTGTGAGACAGTGGGACTTCACAGTTGAGATATCTGGGGCCAGGTGCTTTCCCATGCCTGTAATCCCAGCACTTTGGGAAGCCCAGGTGGGAGGACTGCTTCAGGCCAGGAGTTCAAGGCCAGCCTGGGCAACATAGTAAGACTCTGTCCCAAAAAATATTTTAAAAATTGAGCTGGGAGTGGTGGCACACACCTGTAGTCTTAGCTCCTTGGGAGCTTGAGGCAGGAGGATTGCTCAAGCCCAGGAGTTGGAGGCTGCAGTTAGTTAGCTATGATAGTTCCACTGCACTCCAGCCTGGGCAACAAAGTGAGACCCTGTCTTAAAAAAAAAAAAAAAAAAAAAATCTGGTCTGGAATTTCCTCTGCAGAGTGAAAGAATCTCACATAAACTTCCAGAGAACAAAGTGGATGACCTTATGGAGCTTAAAAGAACGAATACTTAGCCTTTCTCTATTTCCTCATGCCAGCAGCTACCTGGATATCACGACGTCTTATTCTCCAAAGCAGTATTTCAGAGGACAAGAGCAAAAATAACAGGACTTGGAGTTCCTTGGATCTGGAATTACTTCTCCTTAACTATCTATACTTCTGTGATTGATTGGTCTTTCTGCCCTGCAAATCTGGAGTATCATGGAGTACTCCCAGGGCTGACTCGTCATTTAGACATGCTCCCCTTACCTCCTAATGCTCCCAAACTTATCAATATATATAACATCAGCAATTATTATACTTCTTGTCCCACGAGGCTAAGTTCATCTGTCATCATGCTAGTAATAAATTTGACCATTCATTCAGAAGAGGGTAATTAAGAACAATTTGAACCATAATTAGTTGATTGAAAATATCAACTATCTAGAAAAATGCTTTCTGCTTTTAAGCTTGCATCAGTGCTCAGTTATAAAATCAATCTTACTAACCTCCTCGAGCAAAGCTATTGGATGGGTTTACATCCAAATGTCCTGGCACTACCTGCTTAAGCACAGTGGACATTCTTGAAGTCCTCCTTTCAGTCCCTAAAGTCAGCCAAAAAGAAGAACAAAAACCATGTTGTTTGGGTTAACATTACTCAAATGACAAAAAGTTATCTTCATGTGTAGCATGTTTAATTGCTGCCAAACATTGTACTTTTAAGTACCCAAAGCTTTATTAGAGATAACAAGGCAATGTTATTATTAATCAGAGATAACACACATATGCAAGATTATAGAGAGTTAGGTTTGGCAAGTGCAATCACAGAATTTAATGATAAATGGAGCAAGGCATGCATGGTGTTACTTTACAAGAAAAGCCACTTTCTGCTTATGTTGAGCTAATTCAAATAGCTGATTAAGCCAAAGAGACCAACTTCTCAAGTCACATGCTCCTGTGTCTAACACATTAGGGTTACCTCTACATGAACCCTTTGGGGTTCCATCACATGATAACTGAAACAGAATATTAGTACAAGTCTTAATGGCTTCATCCAAATCCAGTGAAAACAAACTGTACTGAAAATCATAAAGGTTGCAGATATTTTGGGAATTTCAAACTTATAAATGATGATTTAAATAAATACACATTTAATAAACATGTTCCACTTACATATTCCATGTCATAATAATATTTTAAAGTCTATGAAAGATAAATGTGGGAATAAAGGGTGACTTTATTTATATTCCTCACTTCCTCTCCAATTACTCTTTTGAAAAGGGAAAAACTGAGCTGGGTGTGGTGGCTCACACCTGTAATCCCAGTACTTTGGGAGGTTGAGGTGGGAAGACTGCTTGAGCCCAGGAGTTAGAGGCCAGACTGGGCAACATAGTGAGACCCCATCTCTAAAAAAAAAAAAAAAGAAAGAAAAAACTGAATCTCTAAAGTTCGTTACTATTTACTAGAGATTAATAGTAGTAGATTTTTAAGTAAAAGGAGTTAAACTTATAATCCTTCCGGGTAAAACTTCTAAGAAGTCTTGGTGAAGGAACAGTACAAATAACAAATAACAGTACAAATAACCCTGGGAACAGAATTGACCTTTCATTAGAAGCTGTCAAGAAGAAAAGGATTATCAAGTCTTACCTGGAGATAGAGCAAAGGCTGGTCTGACAGTAAGAGTGCTGTTGCCTCTGAGTTTCTGATGGACAGAAACAGCATTCAGTAAGGCTTGCAAGTATTTCTCTTGTTCTATGCTACTGGAAGATTCTAAAGAGGAGGTAGGAGCTATAAAAGGAAAATATATTGAATAAAATAAACTGTCTCTGTATTAACAAAACAAGTTATCTATCTATCTATCTATCTATCTATCTATCTATCTATCTATCTATGCTTATTTTTCTCTATATAGTCTACAAGTTACCACACCCAAATATAGAAACCAGCCCCACTTAGATTGCCAGTATATTAAATGGCTAATCCTCCATTGTAATGCTGGTTTTACCATACCTACTTCTTGATTGCCTCATTATCTTTTCAGAAAGAGCCCAGGTCTGGAAAACCAGCACAGGGCTATCCTTCCAAGAATAGATTGGGCTTGAAAGCACAGGGCATAGCTTCTCATTATCCAAGCAACTTAAAATGAAGATTTACAAACAACAACTCCTTGATGATATCCTCCAACCATCCTTACCAGGTTATTGTTTGGGAGTGGGTTCCTTTGACATCCCAGAATGGGTAGAGTTAAGAACTTTCCAATATCAGTAATTTTATTTCAATTATTTGCCACACAGTCCCACCAGGGGACATGAGCCTATAAGGATTTGTAGAGGGAAGAGTGGAAGAACATGGGGAGAAGACAGGAGCAACTACTGCCAATCCCTGGTCCGTCTAAACGAGGAGCAAAAAGTATACATAATTGTGAGAGCAATTCTGGGTTGATGGGCATATGAGCCTGGTTTGGGTGAAGCAAAACAGAATCACTGAAATCGGCCCAGACATTTTAAAAGAGGAATAGGGGATGGACTCACTACAAGGACAATAGATATTCATAAATTTTCTTACAATCTGAATAGAAAATAAATAATTAGCATTATTGTATTTTATCAACTTTAATATGTCTTCAATTCTAAGATGCACTGTTAGTTTATTGTCTAAGAATAAACACTGCTTATCAATAAAAAACACTGCCATTTAAACTATGACACTATTCTTTCTGATCACATCAACTGTAAGATGCATTGCAATTTCAAAGATATTAGTTGTCGGCAGGGCGCGGTGGCTCACATCTGTAATCCCAGCACTTTGGGAGGCTAAGGCGGGCAGATCACCTGAGGTCAGGAGTTCGAGACCAGCCTGACAAACATGGTGAAACCCCGTCTCTACTAAAAATACAAAAATTAGCCAGGCGTAGTGGTGGGCGCCTGTAATCCCAGCTACTTGGGAGGCTGAAGTGGGAGAATCGCTTTAACCTGGGAGGCGGAGGTTGCAGTGAGCCAAGATCGTGCCATTGCACTCCAGCTTGGGCGACAGAGTGAGACTCCGTCTCAAAACAAAAACAAAACAAACAAAAAAACAAAAAACAAACAAAAAAAGATATTAGTTGTGAGTAAAGGTGTGAGGTGAATATGAAATACAGTAAATTTAAATTAAATTTAAAAAAATCAGCAACCAGTAGAATAAGTTTCAATTGTTTTCCAACTAAAAGCTTAGCGATACACTTATCGGTGCTCCTAACATCATTTGCTCATTTTACATAACTTATATACACTTGTGTTCTATTTTATTATTATTTTATTTAATTTTTTTGAGACAGTGTCTCATTCTTTCAGGCTAGAGTGCAGTGGCGCAACTGTGCCTCACTATAGCCTTTACCTCATGGGCTCAAACAATTCTCCCACCTCAGCCTCTGGAATAGCTGGGACTCAGGTGCATGCCACCATTCCCGGCTAATTTTTGTACTTTTTTGTAGATATGGGGTTTTGCCATGTTGCCCAGGCTGGTCTTGAACTCCTGGGCGCAAGCAATCCTCCCACCTTGGCCTTCCAAGTAGCTGGGACTACAGGCATGAGCCATTGCACCTGGCCCCTTCTTATGTTCTAATATACCCACCAGGTGACTTGGGAGCACACAGTGTTTCACAGGAGAAACAGTAAAAAGTCAATTGCCTTCCATTACACCAATAGTGAGACTCCAAGGCAGGTGGAAGGCTGCCCTCAGTCAACCTAATGATCAAAACATTGGCTGACTTTCAAAAAGCACATGGTTGTACCTGATGAATCAGATTCTGAGTTTACTTCATTTCCAAAGGTGGAAGAACGCAGCCATCCCTAAATTGGATCTGATATCTTAGTGGCCCACTCTTTCATTTTTTTTTTGAGTATCTATTATGCGGCAGAAGCTATGAGAAACGTCAGCAAAACACAGCTCCTGACTTCAAGACCTCAGACATGGTACTCACAAGCAGCCTCAGAATACGGGGCAGCTGTACGTATTATTTCGCTAGCTTCCTAAAAACCTCTTTGCTTGAAAGCCCCTGAAGCAGCATTTGCAGTCATTAGTTTGTGCGTATGACTTGTAAGAATGAGGATGGATATCTCATATCATATGGCACAGAATCTCATCTTGCCTCTGAAGCTGTTAAATGTATTTGGATGCTTCCCAGAAGAAAAAAGATTGGTATAACCTAGTTTCCATCTGTGGATACTCTGGTTTGCTGGAATGAAAATTGCCTAGGACCAAAGACTTTATTATATTAATTTCTATTAAAATCCAAGTACAGACCAGACATATTAAGATGTCAAATTCAATGTGGAGCCTCACACTACCAAGTATAGTTCTTGTTTAAGCTGTACATGTTGTATGTAGCAAAATGGAAAAGTTCGTGTGTGAGACAAGACTTGATGAAAGGTTCCATTCCCAGATTTTACTTCCTTTATTTTTAGTAATACCCTTATGTGAACGGGTGGTAATTGTGTTATAGAGAGATGCTTACCGGCCTGAGGGGAGTTTTGAGATTTGAAAAGACCAACGACTCCCTTCCCATGGAATCCTCCAGATCGGAGGAGCAGAGTACCACTTCTTGAGTTCTTCCAACATACAACAGGCAGGCGATTGTGTCGATAGCAGCGAGCTACTCTCGGTAAACTACTGTCCTGTACAGCTTGAGGTACAACTAAAAGGCCAGGATAGCTTCAGAGACATAGAAGGGAGAAGGGAATGATTGGGGGAAGGAGCAGAGGGGAAGAGATGGGGAAAGAAATGAGAGAAGAGGGAGAGAGAGAATATAAGAAATTGAATATTAATATCATAGTAATTTTCTAAGATTCAGAAACATATTAGTTGAAGGGTAAGATATATTTCTTTTCTTTTTTAATTTAATTTTTATTTTTGTAGAGACAGGGTCTCACTTTGTTGTCCAGGCTGGTCTCAAATTTTTGGGCTCAAGCGATCCTCCTTCCTCAGCCTCCCAAAGTGCTGGGATTATGGGCATGAGCCATTGTGCCTGGTCAACATATTTCAAATATGGAACTTAGTTTCAACTCCTGAATTCTTCAGGGATTGAGAAGAAAATCCCTAGATGGTGAAAATAGCTAACTCATCCACTGATCTGTAGTCTTTTTTGGAAAAAGCCCCTTTCACTGATATTGCAGACTTCTGCTGAATAAGTTTAGAAAATAAAAATATTATGTAGAATTCTTTAAAAGGCCTCTGTTGAACTTGCCTTATACATTACTTTTCCACAACTTGAAATAAAGATTGTAAGATTACCGGATTAATGTCAACCTTATGAGAATGACAAGTCAAACTGTCAACAATTCACAGATCACTGAGATGATATCAGAGAATAGAGCATGCCAATATTAGACTGCCTGAGATGGTGAAAGGCTAAAAACCAAAACCAAATTATTTTTGGCATGAGAACAATATGTTCAAATGTCAAATGAGTTTAAATAGTTAATAACACTACATGTTGATACTTACTTCAAAATACTAGCTTATAAAGTTACAGGATATGATGCTGGGAAAATAACATTTAAGAATACATACAGATTAATAAATGCAAGAAGATAGGCAGGTTTCAGAGTCATTTCCCTTTTTAGTTTACTTAGAAATATTACACTAAACAGATTTTGTATTTATAACCTCCTAACTACTAAGCCTATATCTTTTTTTTGGTGATATATATATATATTTTTAGATGCAGTCTTGCTCTGTCACCCAGGCTGGAGTGCATTGGCGTGATCTCGGCTCACTGCAAGCTCCACCTCCCGGGTTCGCCATTCTCCTGCCTCAGCCTCCCGAACAGCTGGGACTACAGGCACCTGCCACCACGCCCGGCTATTTTTTTTTATTTTTAGTAGAGACAGGGTTTCACCGTGTTGACCAGGATGGTCTCGATCTCCTGACCTCGTGATCAGCCCGCCCCAGCCTCCCAAAGTGCTGGGATTACAGGCATGAGCCACCACGCCCGGCTGGTGATTTTTAAATTTTGGTAAAATATACCTAACATAAAATTTACCATGTTATCCTTTTTTTGAGACAGAATTTCACTCTGTTGCCCAGGCTGGAGTGCAATGGCGCGATCTCGGCTCACCACAATCTCTGCCTCCAGGGTTCAAGCAATTCTCCTGCCTCAGCCTCCCGAGTAGCTGGGATTACAGGCATGTGCCACCATGCCTGGTTAATTTTGTATTTTCAGCAGAGACGTTTCTCCATGTTGGTCAGGCTGGTCTTGAACTCCCAACCTCAGATGATCCACATGCCTCGGCCTCCTAAAGTGCTGGGATTACAGGCATGAGCCACTGTGCCCGGCCCATGGTATCCTTATTTATTTATTCTATTTTTTATTTATTTTTTGAGACAGAGTTTCGCTCTTTATGCCTAGGCTGGAGTGCAGTGGTGCGATCTCGGCTCACCACAACCTCTGCCTCCCGGGTTCAGGCAATTCTCCTGCCTCAGCCTTCCGAGTAGCCAGGATTACAGACATGCGCCACCAAACCCGGCTATTTTTGTATTTCTGGTAGAGCTGGGGTTTCTCCATGTTGGTCAGGCTGGTCTCGGACTCCCGACCTTAGGTGCTCCGCCCACCTTGGCCTCCCGAAGTGCTGGGATTCATGCTATCCTTTTTTATGTGTACAAACCAGTGGCATTTAGTACATTCCCAATGTTGTGCAACTACCACCACTATCCATTTCCAGAACTTCTTATCCCTTATCTTGATAAGAACCAGTGCCGAGAGGAGGGAGAGGAAATCTAGTTTATGGTCACATAAATCATAACCTTCAACTACTTTACTGAATGCCAAATTAACTTTCCATACTTAACCAATGATACCTTAGAAGCATTTGGAAAGCCTAGGGCTTTGGTGCTCTAGGAAGTTGTGACCTGAATTTTTCTAATACCACAAACTGATGAAAAGACCAAGCTACAGTCATAGTCACTCATGAAGACTGAAAAGGCAGTTCCATGATTAGGACCCTCTATCTCCACCTGAATATCAGTTTTTCCCAACTTGCTTCAAGATACAGTGTGTATTAGATAAGGGAGTAATGTTTAATGGCTCCAGGAGCTACTTCAATAACTGGTAAAGAAGGAGCACACTCCTTCACTCCCTGCCCTTCATCTCCTTGCACTGTGAATGAGCACTACACACAGACCATGCTCTGTTACATATAAGATCTACGACTCTCTCCTGCTTCCTGACGCGGGCTTGCATGACAGCTGGATAGCCCCTAGTGCTGGGGCAAATAGTGTGAAGCCTAAAGACCAATAGAAGCTACTCTCAGTACCAGTCTCATTTCATAATGAAAGATATCAATTTCCCATCCTAACCCACTACTCAGAGCCTTCAGCTCTGGGCTCCACAGTTAACTCTCAAGAGGTAGACTAGGCTTCAGAAGCTGTTGTGGAAACTTTTTAATTCAAGCATAATTCACATACAAGTGCTCAAAATCTAGGTGATATCACTACCACCTAGGTCAAGAAATGGACCACTACAAGCATCCAAGATCTAGTATTTCCTCCCAGTCACTATTTCTTCCTCCTTCTTAAAGATTACCACTATCCTGCCTGGCACAGTGGCTTACACCTGTAATCCCAGCACTTGGGAGGCTGAGCTGGGAGGATTGCTTGAGCCTAGGAGTTCGAGACCAGCCTGGGCAACATAGTGAGACCTCTTCTCTACAAAAATAAATAAAGTAAAAAGAAAATTAGCCAGATTTGGTGGCATGCGCCTAGTCCCAGCTACTCAGAAGGCTGAGATGGAAGGATCGCCTGAGCCAGGGAGGTTGAGGCTGCAGTGAATTGGAATCGCATCACTGCACTCCAGCCTGGGAGACAGAGCAAGACCGTGTCTCAAAAAAAAAAAAAAAAAAGGCCGGGCGCAGTGGCTTAAGCGTGTAATCCCAGCACTTTGGGAGGCCGAGGCGGGTGGATCACGAGGTCAGGAGATCGAGACCATCCTGGCTAACATGGTGAAACCCCGTCTCTACTAAAAATACAAAAAACTAGCCGGGCGTGGTGGCGGGCGCCTGTAGTCTCAGCTACTTGGGAGGCTGAGGCGGGAGAATGGCGTGAACCCGGGAGGCGGAGCTTGCAGTGAGCCGAGATCACGCCACTGCACTCCAGCCTGGGAGACACAGCGAGACTCCGTCTATTACTACTGTCCTGAATGCTAACAATGTGGATGAGTTTCGCTTCTTTTTGAATTCTAGATAAAGGGAATCAACAGAGTTTATTCTTTCATGTTTGGCTTCTTTTGCTCAATATTATGTTTATGAGATCCACTTGTGTTATTGTACTCATGTGTAGTTTGTTCATTTTCATTACTGTATAGTATTTCACTGTGTGAGTATAATACCATTTATTTACTCTCTTGTTGATTTTGAGTAGTTTCTAGTTTTTTTAATTATTAAGAATGTTGCCATGAACATTCTTGTAGATGTCTTTTGGGAGCACGTATGTATTTCTGTTAGAAATTCTACTCCACCTAAGAGGAGAATTTCTAGGTAATAGGTTATGAATATGTTCAGTAGATGTTTAAATGTTTAGATAGCATTAGACAACTTTCCAAAGTTATTTAACCAACTTATAGTCCTTTTTACTCTCTTGATGATATCTCCTGATATACAGAAGTTCTAACTTTATTAATTTTTTACTTTATAGATAATGTTTTTCCCATCCCAAGAAATCTTTCCCTATACTTCAAGGTCATGAAGACATTCTCTTATCTTCTAGAAGCTTTATTGTTTTAAGTTTGTTTTAACCTTAATAACAAACCTATTGTTTTATTGTTTTACCCTTTTACATATAGATCTATATGTCAATGGGAATTAACTTTTGTAAATGGTATAAGGTAGAGGTCAAGATTAATTTTTCCCAGCATCCTTTATTGAAAAAAACATCTTCTATCCGCTGCTCTTGTGTTATTTTTATCTTAAATCAAGTATCCACATATGTTGGGGTGTTTCTGTTTAATATATTCCCTATTTTGCTCCACTGGTCAATTTGTTCATTCTCATGTCAATCCTATACTGTCTTAATTACTGTAGCTTTATAAAAAGTCTTGACATCCTATAGTATTATTCTGTAATACTTGGCTACTCTTTGTCTTCTGCATTTTTATGTAACTCTTAGAATTACCTTTTCAGTTTCCATTAACACTTTGCTGAGATTGGGACTCTGTTGATTCTATAGAACAATTTCAGGAAACTTCAGTTTTAGAATATTGAATATTCTAATCTAAGAACCTGAAATATCTACTTATTTAGCTCTTCAATGATCTTCAATATTGTTTTAAGTATTCCATGTAGAGGTCTTGCACAGGTTATTAGATTCATCTAAGTAATGTTTTTTAGTGCTACTGTAAATAGTAGGAATAGTACCAAAACAGCATCACTTTTTGAAAATTTCATTTTGTAATAATGTTTTTAGTATATATATGACTAATTATTGTAAATGACCTTGTACTAGTGACCTTATCAGTGACCCTGTACTAAGTCCACTTAATAATTTTAAAAGTTTATGGGTAGATTCCTTCAGATTTTCTACATGTGCATTTTGGTCATCTGTGAGTAATGGCAGTTTTATTTCTTTCTTTTCAATCTTTATACCTTTTATTACTTTTCTTGTCTCTCTGCACTACCTAAGACCTCTACTACAACACTGAATAGAAATGGTGATAATGGGCATCCTTGTCCGGATTTCAGAGAAAAAGCTTTTAATATTTTATTTATTTTTAAGATAAGTAATTTCCTTGTAGGATTTCTAAGACGGAAGATTAAGGAGCTACCCACTGTTCCACTGCAGATGCCTCTGAGGCCTTCGGGGCGCTACTCATGGGGAGCTCATTCTTACTATATTTTGCTGAGAGCTTTTTTCTAAAAGTCATAAATGTGACAAAAATATAGAATTTACATACATAAATTCACATAAATAAAACTCATAAGTGTACTTTGCATTTCCAAAATGCTTTTCTTTATATAATAAACTTCTTTTTAATTCTGTTAATGTGGTAAATTACACTGACTGATTTTCAGATGTCAAACCAGTACTCTATTCCTGTAATAAACTCCATTTGGTCTTAATGAATTACTGTGTGTAAAATAAACCTTTTGTCATTATGAACCACCCTTTCTTATTGCTTTTAAAGTCACTTTGATATTCATATAGTGACAACAACTTTTTTTAAAGTTAGTTTTGTGTGGTATATTTTTTCTATCCTTTTACTTTCTACCTTTTTACATACTTGTATATTAGATTTGTCCCTTAAAAAGCAGCAGAAAGCCTTTTTTTTTTTTTTTTTTGAGACAGAGTGTTGCTCTGTCACCAGGCTGGAGTGCAGTGGCGTGACCTCGGCTCACTGTAACCTTCGCCTCCAGGGTTCAAGTGATTCTCCTGCCTCAGCCTCCCGAGTAGCTGGGACTACAGGTGTGCACCACCATGCCCAGCTAATTTTTGTATTTTTAGTAGATACATGTTGGCCAGGATGGTCTCCATCTCTTGACCTCGTGATCCACCCGTCTTGGCCTCCCAAAGTGCTGGGATTACAGGCATGAGCCACTGTGCCCACTTTTTTTTTTTTTTTTTAAAGCAAAGCCTGATCTCTCTCTTTGAATTGGAACATTTAGTCAATTAATAATTAATGCAATTATGGATATATTTGAATTTAAATCTACCATCTTAGTACTTGTTATTTATTCCATTTGTTCTATGTCCCCTTTTTTTTTTCCTTTCTTGCCTTCTTTTGGATTATTTTTTATTCCGTTTCCTTCCTGCTAAAACTTAATGGATATATATTACTTTTTACCACCATAAATGCTTTATAAACAGTGTTCTAATAAGTCATCTACTAAAATTTTATTTTATTTCTGACAGATTGGAATGATAAATGAGTCTGTTTTCTCAATGGCTGGCATAATTTTGATAGCAAACTTTCCAAACATCAGGAAATCATACCCCAACAACATGACATCTTCAGAGAAAATTTAGTTAGAATGACAGAGAATTCCAGAAAAATTACTGCATACTGAGAGTCCCAATTTTTCAGAACTTCATTCAAAATGTTTATTTGGCCACAATCTCAAAACTATATTCCCAACTTGTTTCTCAAGTTTCATATTAATATTTGTAAACTTAAATTGTCATTTAAAATGACATATCTATCTTTAAGAGCAACAGGGTTGAAACCAACAGTAACATTAAGACAACTTTCTAAAATATGTACAAAGCTTACAATTTACAAAGTGCTTTCACAGCTGTTTAGGCAGGAATTTATAAATGCAAAGAAAACAACTTACCTAGAGATGAAAATGACTAAACTTGTGAATGGTGAAAACGTAATTTTAGAAAATACATATTTACATATAGTAAAGCATGGAATAAGGCTCAAAATATTCGAAAAACAGTAAGAGATGACAAGAACAGGAAAAAGAAAATGTCTCTTTATTTACATCCTTTAAGTAATATTCCCTTGAAAACATTCCAGTTAGACGGCATAAGAAACCCTTGCCTACACCTGGGTCAGCAAATTATAGCCTGTGGGCCACAAATGGCCATGCCCACTCATTTCCTCACTCTCTGTGGCTGCTTTTGCGGCACACTTGAATAGTTGCAACAAGAGACTCTATGGCTCATAAACTGAAAATATTTACCAACTGACCCTTTATAGAAAGAGTTTGTGGCTCCCCAGCCTACAAAAGACTTTCATGTCTTCTATTGGCCTGGGAAAATCCTGTTCTTCAAGTTATCTTTAGTCATGCTAGAAAAGAAGTAAACTGGGAAGAGAGAGACAAGAGAAATTCATAGAGGGGTGAGTAGTTTACCTTTCACTTTCTTACCTAGTGGAGGTACTTTCAGTAAGGTAATTGTTCCAAAAATGCCAATGAGATGCTTGCTCATATCCTGGAAACCCTGTTCTTATTTTCAGGCATTTTTATCTATCTCAGGGCTATGGATGCAAATGGCCTATTAAAGATTCAAATGAGAAGAAAGGAAAGAAGACCTCTTTTTGGAGCCCACTGACACACTTACCTCCGGCAGAGTGAATACATCCTGTTGGAGGCAGTAATTCGAAAATACTCGGGTCTTGAACGGGAAGAGCTGCCACTTATGGTTCCTAAACCTAAACGCTGATAGTCTCTGAAACAAGCCTTTTCCACCAACTGCTCCATTGTAGACTTCTCGGAGGCCTTCAGGGTGGTACTTGTGGGGAGCTCACTCTCATCTGAAACTGGGATGGTAGAGACAGATATTAAAGAAATGATTAGCTCAAAGCACAGGATTAAAAACTTCCTTTTGGGCTGGGCATGGTGGCTCACACCTGTAATCCCAGCACTTTGGGAGGCCGAGGCAGGCGGATCACGAGGTCAGGAGTTCAAGACCAGCCTGACCAACATGGTAAAATCTCATCTCTACTAAAACTACAAAAAATTAGCCTGGCGTGGTGGCAGTCACCTGTAATCCCAGCTACTTGGGAGGCTGAGGCAGGAGAATCACTGGAACCCGGGAGGCGGAGGTTGCAGTGAGCTGAGACTGTGCCACAGCACTGCAGCCTGGGCAACCGAGCAAGACTCTGTCTCAAAAACAAACAAACAAACAAACAAACAAACAAAAAAACCCCAAAAAAGTCCCACTTCCTTTTGAAGAAGACCCTTACACCAAGACAGGTTTATATTAGGATGACAAGTATTATGTATATCACAAATTAAATCATATAACTTCTGTGAGGGATCACACTTAAATAAACATAAATTAAAAGTGTAATGAATAGTCAAGAAATAAAATATCAGTAATTCAACTAAAAAATGTCAGGAAAATAATACCTTTAAATAATTTCTAAAAACAATACAATTTTGAATTCATTACCTACACTGTTCTGTTTCACGCAGGCTTGCTTATTGTCAAATTGCAGTGATTTCCATTTAGGACTCTATACAAACACCCAAAGTTTGTCAGAGGCTAACCCATCAGTAAAATTTGTCTTTCGTATAATCACTATACAAGCTCATCATCCAGATTTCAGTTTACTTTTCAGACCATAAGCTTTTATTAGAAATTTCTGGATTAACCAGAAGTTCATTAGAGGGAAAAAGAACTGTATTTCCTCAGAGAGGTATAAGGAAGTTACACTTTTTTCCTGGAAATATTTTTGTTAGAGGATGTGGTGTACGTGGGAAACCCCCTCACAGTTTTACAATCACAGGTTACAGAATCCTTTACGATTTTAGATGTGGAAGAATTTACTCAATAATCAAATATTTTAGGGAGGCTTTTTTTTTTAAAAGGACATTCCTAATTGGTACTGCATGTTCTAACTGAAAAAAACAAACAAATTCCATGTTAAAAACTGTCCTAATTTACTTCCTTATTTATTTTGAAAGTAAGAGACATCAAATCAAGCTTTCAAAGTTTTTGAAAATGTACTCAAAGTACTAATGTGCAGGTAAAGCTATGGCCCTCTTTCATTAAAATATATTTTTAAAAAGCAGAAAATCAACAGCTGCGTTTCAATTTGTGAACTTTAATTCGTGTTTCAATTTGTGAACTTCACAATGCAATACAATCAGGTATCAATTCTGTGTTGGCCTTTTATTTTCAGAGGAGCAAAGAACATTATATAATTTTGTCTTTTAGTAGAATAATTATCATAGAATAATAAGTTTTGTTCCATGAAACATAAAAAAATTGAGTTAGAAGAGTCAATAGTGATGGGTAGCAATAATATTTTTATGGCTTGACATACGACTGCGAAAAGATCAGGGTTCCAACAAATGGTTATTTCAGTAATGTAATGGTGGGTATTTTCACTGCCCCCAGAGGCAAGCTTGTATGTACACATTCTCACCCAGGGCATGCATACATACATACAAAACCACATAGGTTCTTTTTTATTTTTATTTTTTGAGGCAGAGTCTTGCTCTGTCCGACCCAGGCTGGAGTGCAGTGGTGCCATCTTGGCTCACTGCAACCTTCTCCTCCCAAGTTCAAGCAATTCTCATGCCTCAGCCCCCTGAGCAGTTGGGACTACAGGTGCATGCCACCATGCCTGGCTAAAATTTTGTATTTTTAGTAGAGACAGGGTTTCGCCATGTTGGCCAGGCTGGTCTCGAACTCCTGGCCTCAAGTGATCTGCCTGCCTTAGCCTCCCAAAGTGCTGGGATTATAGGCATGAGCCACTGTGCCCAGCCCACATAGGTTCTTTATCCCAGCAACTGAAAATGGAGACCTGTTAGCCAGTGCTTTCTCTAAAGATGAGGTTTCTTTTTAAAAATGTTGTTGTTAGTAGTAGTAGTTCTTGCATAACCACTTGTGACTGATTCTAAGATCCTGAGGGGAAAAAAAGGGTGTAATGGCATTCTGCCTCCCATTATATCACCTTTTCTGTAGCGCTGATTCCATAGCATATTTGATACTGGGTTAAGAACGGGAAACAGTCACTCAGACATTTTGCTACTAGCTTTCTGCCTCTATTTTTCCCACTCAGAGGTATTGTAGCTGTTCTTTCAAATATTTAGCAAGTATTTTTTCTTATGACCTAAGTGTTCCTTCATCTTAGGTCCCCCATTTTGATTAAGAGCACCAGCAATGTTCTTACCAAAAACTGAAATCTTCAACTTGAAATGTTCAATGTCCTTACCTTAAATTCTTATTCTAGAAGAATAAGATACAGGGGACTACCCTATACCTAAATTTCCCATGCAGTGAGGTTTCCTTCTTTCTTCTTTTAATGAGACCCACATAAAAATGACCAATTAGCTGTATGGATTTAGTAAAGAAGAAGTATAATTTAACAAAATATTACCTGAACAATGGAATACTGGGAAAATATTTTCCCCTTAGTTCTAAGAAGCTGGTAAGTGCTTCCATCTTCTCATGAGATCTAGGTTTTCGTGAATCAAAATTTAAGCGCAACTACATCTTAGTCTCTTATTCATATAGGAAAGTTGAATCATGAAGGAAATTCAAGTTCTCACATACCAGATACATCATCATCTTCATTCCATCCAGGACGATTTACTCTTTCTTCCACAATTGTCCCTGTCTTCTTCTTCAGTAAATATTGCCGTCCAATTGTCATTTTCCCTGCCCTTTTGGCACCTTTCACAATTGTTTTTGAGAAGGTACTACAAGTTATAAAACCAAAAAGAATGTCAACTTAATATAAAAGCACTACTTGTATTGTTGATACCTACTTAGCTCAAATTGTTTCTTTTCCTTTCCCACAGCCACTACTGGTCCAGACTTTTGTTAAGCCTCTCCTTCTTTAGGTTATTTTTAATACGGCAGTAGACTAATTTCCCATAAAACATCATTGTCGTCAGGACACTGTCTTAGGCAAAACGTGCAGGAAAACGTAAAGTGAGACGCAAACTACTTATCACCCCAAATGTAAACTCCTTGGTTTGGCTTTTTGGGGAGGACTGCCCTGAACCCACTCTGGTTATCCCCATGCCACTGTCCCTACCACAGTTCCCACAAAGCATGCTTGTTGGAGTCCTCCTACATGGAAAGCTAGCCTGCCTGCTTCTCTACTTACTCAAACTCTCTTTCTACCAACTCCCAAGACTTTCTCTGAGATCATATGACCTTCATAGTTGGCAACACATTTGCTTATTTCTTAACTGTTTTAAGTGTGTATATGTGATGTCCTGACTCTAATTAGCTGTAAACCTTAAGAAGCATAGAAAAATAATATAATTTCCCTTTTTTGAGAGGATAAAAATAAATCAGAAACTTGAGTATCCTTTTGAGAATCAGCTTTAATTAAAGGGAAATTAAGATGTAAATCATTTGGAACTAAAAGTACTTTATTTATTCAAACAATTTACCCCTTCTTGCTGACAGAAAATCTAGGCAATCCAGAGAATTAAACAGAGAACCTATTTCCTGACTAATCAGATGGAGGTGAAGATTCTGAAGACTGTTCTTGATTATATTCTTCTCTATCACAAAGAACTCTTCTGGTGTTTTCCTGCCATTCAGTAAAAAGTGATAAGGCTTCTTTTATGGTCAGTTTCACCAGACTCCGTCTTTAGTTATTTGCAATGTAAACCTGAAGGTTATGAAACAAGTTTGAGATAACTGCTGGGAAGCATAAAATACTGATATTTGCTAAATTAAACCTATTGTAAGTCACTTGTATAACTTTTATTTTTATTTTTAAATTTTTATTAGTGGGCTTTCTGGCAAAAAATGGAAAGCCCGCTAGACAAATTCCAAAAGAGCTGTAACACCAGGTATAACTTAAACTCTATGGGAGTTTTGAAATTTTTTCCTAGCTAAAGCTATATCTTTTGTTTCATATACCCAGGCAACTCTTAAAATTTTCAAATTGCTATATCTCTGTTGCAGCTGATACAACAGGCTTGATACAGGTATATATTTCTGAAACTAATATAAATATACATGTTTCTGATAGTTTGTAAATGTAAAATATCACACAAAGCTTTGTCTCTTCCATTGAAGGCTGAGATAACAAACATCATAGGCTCCTCTGCAACCCTATGGTGCTAAGACAAGATGCTTGGTCCACTGCTGTAAATCCCTAGAAACTTGGTCATGCTTCAGCGTACCATACCTGGATATTTCTGGTCTCCTTTGCTTACCAGGTAATACAGGTGGCTAGCTGTGCAACTGAGAAATAATATACTGTCTGAAACCTCAAATCTTCTATAATCCCCAATCTACCCTTCTTTCAGGCAAAAGGAAAGGCCTCTTTTCCAAAGTCTGTAAAGCTCTCCCTAGTATTATAATTTGTATTGGCAGATGCCCACATTCTACATGGTTAACAATGAATGAAATTTTAGCCCTTATATTTTATCACTGATGGAAGATAACTTAAAACAATTGTTATTTTGTAATAACTGAAGTTTAAAACTTTCAACATAAATTTCTAAAAACTTTCTAGAAAATAAGGGTTCATACTAAAGAAATATGACAACCAAATGCAATGCCTGATCCTGGATTAGATCCTGGACCAGGAATAAAAAAGTTTAGGTTCTAAACTAAAAAAGGATCATTAACACAATGTGAATATAGACTCTGGGTTAGGTAAAAGTTTTATATTAATTAAATTTTCCGGTATTGATTACTGTGCTTATGTAAGATAATGTTGGGCAAGGGGAGAGAGGGCATTAGGACAAATACCTAATGCATGCGGGGCTTAAAACCTAGATGACGGGTTGATGGGTGTAGCAAACCACCATGGCACATGTATACCTATGTAACAAACCTGTGTGTTCTGCACATGTATTCCAGAACTTAAAGTATAATAAATAAATTTAAAAAATAAAACAAATAAAAAGATAATGTCTTTGTTCTTAGGAAATATATTTAAGGATAAATACATTACTTAACGTATTTATGTGATGTACTTAAGGATAAAAGGACATCTTATATCTAACTCAAATGGCTCAAAAAAAAAATATGTGTATATATAAGAGAGAGAATGATAAACAAATGGACCAAAGTAGAAACTATTGGTGAATCTGGGTAAAATATATACAGAAATTCTTTGTACTACTGTTACGAATTTTCTGTAAGTTTGGAAGGTTCAAAAGAGTTACGTAAAACAGAAAATAAAGCCTCCTGTTTCTAGATAAAAGCAAATCTGTCCACTGGGCCTGGATATTAATAAAAGCTGAAGAAATTGGTCAAAAGCATTTAGAAAGTGATCAATATGGAAAAAAGAGAAAATAGAATTTCACATTCTAAAAAAGGATTGTGAGCAATGGACATGACAGTCAAAGCCTCTGATAGCTTTTAGTGTTTGAAACTTGCTACATTTATCAATGTTGCTGTTCTGTAACTTTATGATCTTGGCCCCATGGGCTTGACAGAAACAGAACAGTGAATGAAAAGAGCAATTGCTTACACCTGGACACAAAGGATAGGTCACTCCTTTTGCAATCAATTATGGGAGGGCTGAAATTAACAGACTCGTCTTTCTTCTTACCGAAAAGAAGTGTTCTTTTCCTTCTGTTTTGGTAAAATTATTTGTGGGGTAGTCTGTCCAGCAGCAAAAGCAAAGGTGCTGAAAATGGACTGAGGATAACGGAATTTCATCAGCTGTTTCTTAAAGATCTCTACTACTTCTGGACTGACTTCTTCATCAAATGCTACCTTAATCAACTAGAAGCAAAAGAGATTAAACACAAAAGAAGCATTAAGGATTTCCAGGCAACTTTCCCCCAAACAACAGAATATAATAACACAAAATGGCAAGACTGGAGGTTGAAGGGACTTTGGATAACATGCACATAATTTTTAAATTTTTAAAAATAAAAGGCTCAAAAAGGTTTACTTGACATAAATGGCTAGTTGGCAAGGAAAATCATGCATCTTCAAGTCAGTTTCTTTAAGATTATTTCTTCTACAATGGGATAGGGAATTGTACTAGCAAACATGCCCTTCTCATTTCTCAACTGGTTGGTTCCAGATAGAGAGTTTGGCCTAATAAGGACTCTTCCTACCCAGATACAACAAATGTAGGAAGAAAAAAAATCCATTTGACTAGAATCCTAATCAGTACAGCTAGGCAATATTCAAGTGTGGAGTTCTTTGGAAGTTGGAACAGTGAGGAAATCCTTAGGCAGCCAATGTTTTCAGGTGATGAGAGGTCTGGAGCCTAAAGATCAGCAGCCTTACATTTCACACAATTAGCACAGAAGCCAATAGGAGAGATCCTTGACTAGAAGGTATGAGGCAAGAACTGAAATCTGAAAAGTGATGAAGAATAAGAAAAGCAAAATATTACAAACTGAGAATTTAAAAAAAGGAAAAACTAAGAAAAGGTCACTTCTTCCAGGGTCTGGTTTGCATCAGTAATTCTACAAAGTTCTGACATAGTCATAAACCCCTGGGAAACCTCTTGCTTTATCAGGGGTATGCAACTAGTACCAATAGAACTTTAGCCCTAGCTATACTTTTTATCTCTCCACAGAACAGCCACAGGGCGTTTCCTTCAAAACAGATGCCAAGACAACTGCTTTTTATCTAAAGGCTTCATCAAACAGGTACTGAGGTACAACTTGGGAAAGAATAAGAACCAATTGTATGTGTCTAAGTTTCTAAGATCACTCATTATTGAGTATCTGTTGGTACTCTGAGTTCACTAAGGGGCTCCAGGGATTAAATCCAATACCATTCATGAGTTTACTGAGTTGATGATTACCCTCTCAGAGCCTATGATCTTCCCCATTCTCATCCTCGTAACTTCTGAGCACATGACCACAGAAAATGGCCACAATATCATTTGACTTTTGAAAATTTTTGAATAGTAAAACAATGGCTTCCTTTTTTAATACCTGAAAAGATGCTGATGTGATCTGCAGTCCTTCTTGCATGTTCTGCTGTAGTTGGTTCTGCATTGTAATCTTCTTCTCCTTGGTGATGGAGGCAATGGGAAAGCTCCGCACAACTGTCTGCTCACCCACTGTAAACAGACAGGACACAGCTTTAGCAACAACACTTTATAGCTCACTTCTAGAGTGTCTACTGCTCACTTCATTAGTCACTGCTGGAGAAATGTATTTGAAGAGGACACTGCCCAGGGATGCAGTGAAAGAAAGTGCCCTTCACTCCAGGAAAGGATTATGTCTCAGGAGCGGCAAGTGACTTACATTTCACACAATTAGCATAGGAGGCAATAGAAGGGATCCTTGACCAGAAGGAATGAAGCAAGAACTGGAATTCTTGGAAATCTGAGAAGTTAGAGACAAGTGACTTGCCACTCCTGAGACAGAATCCTTTCTGGAGTGAAGAAACTGTCACAGTCTGACTGCCTTCATTCTTTCTATCTCCCCAACCTACTGTGTGCCACACAAGATCTCCTGGTTCAAGGCAATTTTATAGGAAGGGAGGTTTTGTACCAAAAAAAAAAAAGTACTCCTCAAGTATTGAAAAGACATCCAAGATATTTAATGTAAGGATGAAGCAAAAGAGAACAGGTTTTTAAAGTTTGTTTCCATATATGGTAAAAGGTGTTATACTATATATGTGTGACTTTGGAAAACAAGCCTGGACTTAGGCGCAAGACTTTTAGGAGTTTATTAAAGCAAACATGGGAAAATATAAATAATTATTTATCAAGTACCTGAGGTTACGAAGATGAGAGTCTAGAAAAAAGTAGCACACTCAAGACCTCCCTTGAAGAGCTTCCAATTTCCCGTGGGAGGAGAGTCACATGCAGAATATAATAATATGTGGTTAGCTCTTACGTTTGAGGGAACAGACTACAGGGATTTAAATATTTCAGAGAAGGATCTCTGCATGCTAGATGGATAGAAAATGATTTCTGGGAGAAGTGAGGGAGAAGTTGAGCTTTAAAGGAAGTGTAGAATCTGGATTTGCAGAAGGGAAAGGAAGAGCATTTTAGGCAGTGGTAGAGGAACATAACAGGAGTGGCAATGAACAAGGCCTCCCAGCTAGTAAGCCAGGGTGGGGGGGAGGTGGGGAGATGTGAACTAGGTTCATCTTATTTAACAGCCCATACATTTCTTCATTTATTATAATCAGAATCCTAATTCCCTGGATCTATCAACCTGTAATCTAGAAAAATTCTGACTATCTTTTTACATCAAGCTCATATCGAGAGGCTAAGCAAAGTCAGGATGTACATAGGATTTAAGTTCTAGGATGTATTTAACACCTACATTTATATAACATGTAAAATTATAATATTTAGATGTGTCATTAAAGGAGAAATTTTAAATTAGAAATTTAAAAGGAAATAAAAATATTTTCTTCGACAAAAATAATTTTCCTAAGTGAAATTAATCCAAAATTTGAAAGGAAAAAGCCAGAGAATATGAGATTTCACACTAAGCATGACTTTAAAATAAATTACAGCAATTTAAATGACCATGTAAGTATCACATGTTTATGTGTCCAAAATGTATGTTTATGGCCATTAATCTCGCGAAAGTCCTACTATAAAAAATGGTAAGTACTGTATGGTTTCTTTTAAAAGTACGTTTACTTTCAAATACAATTTGTGTACAGCAATATGAAGGAGTGGGCTAAGACATTTTTTCTCCTTTTCACTTTTTCAAAATAAGCAGAACTATTCTTACAAATTCATCTTTTCTTATTTAATTTTACGAACTTGTTGCACATTATATGGTAAGCAGTCTTTTATGACTGATATACTAAATCATCTTGATTCTATTCAACCTAGGGATAATGCAACTGTTAAGATTTAAAAGAGAATACATTTTATATATCTGAATTCAATTGTCCAACAAATGAGTAGCACATAGTGCACACTCATCAAATGCTACTAAATACATAATTTCAGAGGAGAAAGGCACTTTAGTGACCATTTAGCCCAATGGTTCCCAATCACAATCACTTGTGGGGCTAAAGAAATACACAGATGCCTGGGTCTCCCTATTTCTACTGCTTCAGATTCTAATTCAATTGTTTGAGGGTTGGGCCCAGAAACTGGTATTTTTTTTTAAAGATTCCCAGATAATTCAAATATGTAGTCAACGTTAAGAACCACTGAATTATCACCAAAGAAAGCCCAATCTCCCAATTTTATAAAAGAGGAAAATAAAGTACAGAAATGTTAAGTGACTTAAGTCACTGAGCTCTGACTTGGAGTCCTATTGTTTTGCCCAAAAGTCTTACTTATGTGCTTTTCCTATCAACAAGAGCATTTTACATACAGACTATAGTGACTTTAAGAAGATAATGTAGATTACTTTTGGTAGGGCATGCTATTCCTTTCTAATATAGAAGGCTGTACTGAATAGTAGAAAATAGAAATAGAAGTTATAGGAGTTTGGCAAGTAGAAGAGAAGTTGTCTGCCAAAAGGGAAGTGGGGTTAATTGGAATGGAATAAGAGGGAAGTGGGATTGGTGCTGGACAACCTTGTGATGGTTAGCATATCCTTCCACAAAAAGGTTCAAGTATCTGCAAGACCTTAGTTTTACAGTTAACTGTAGGACTCAGAAAGCGGAGACAAACCAGCAAGGAATATATTCAGCAGTTAGAGTGAATATCTCTAGTAAGTTATAATACTCTGCCCCATGAAATTATGATCATTTCAGCAAATGAACCCTTGATTTATTGTTTAGAAGACAACCCTTTGTTCTTCAAGTAAAAAACTATGACCCAAATTATCATTACCTCTGTTCATCTAAAGTATTTCACCAAAATACCTGTGTGGCAAAAAGCTTACTTTGGATTTAAAATGATCTGCAAATCACTGTGCACAGATGGGATCGAAACCTCATGTACCACACAGATATCCATGTTCTGATGGCATATTGAGCCATACCTAACTGATCATGGGGGGTTCCTCTGAAGAGAATTCTGTATGTGGTGAGGAACAAGGCTCCTTCTGCTGGCAGGAGCTGAGGGCCTCCAAGAAGACCTCCAGTAGCTTCTTCTCTTCCATCAGGATCCAGTAAGACTCGAAGACCTTCACAGACAATTTCTTCTCCTGGCAGCAGAGCAGGTCTAAGAATCTTGGGCTTACAACAGAAAAAGATTGATTGACTGATTGACAAATTGATTGATTTTTGGAGACAGGGTCATGCTCTGTTGCCCAGCCTAGAATACAGTAGTGCAATCATAGTTCACTGCAGCATCAAACTCCTGGGCTCAAAAGATCCTCTGACCTCAGCCTCCTGAGTAGCTGAGACTACAGGCATGCACCACTATGCCTGGCTGATTTTTAAATTTTTTTGTACAGACAGGATCCTGCTACATTGCCCAGGCTGGTCTCAAACTCCTGGCCTCAAGCAATACTCCTGCCCCAGCCTCCCAAAGTGCTAGGATTACAGGCATGAGCCACCATACCTGGCTAGAGAAAGTATTGTAAACACAACTTTTGTGGAGTTTCTAATACTCAGACCATGGTGATCTTTTCAATTATAGACCTAAAAATCTTAAGCCAGACTTCCCAGATAGTCACATGAGAAAGCTGATTTGGTAAGAGGCAGAAATGAAGTTTATACATCCAAATGTGGGAGGATTCTTTGCAGAACTGTCTAAAAGTAAAATCAGTGGGAAACAACTCAAATATCTGAAATATTCATTCAATGAAACATTCTGTAACCTTTAAAATATGACATAGATCTATATGTGTTAACATGCAAAAATATTCAGAAGGCCTGGTGCGGTGGCTCATGCCTGTAAACCCAGCACTTTGGGAGGCCAAGGCAGGTGGATCACTTGAGATCAGGAGTTCGAGACCAGCCTGGCCCACATGGTGAAACCCTGCCTCTACTAAAAATACAAAAATTAGCTGGGTGTGGTGGCAGGTGCCTGTAATCCCAGCTACTCATGAGGCTGAGGCAGGAGAATTGCTTGAACCTGGGAGGGGGAGGTTGCAGTGAGCCAAGATCGTGCCACTGCACTCCAGCCTGGGTGACAAAGCAAGACTCCATCTCGAAAAAAAAAAAAAAATCCAGAATACATTGATAGTTAAAAAAGCAAGTTAGAAACCAGTATGTACATTATAATCTCATTTCTGGAAAAAGAAAAGGAATTGTAAGACTGTGAACTAAACTATTAAAGGCAATGGTATCATAGTTAAGGGTGGAGGTGGAGGTAGTATAGGGAGGACTACAAGGGACTTTCACTTTGTACAATGTGTATTTCTTTTATGCTCAAATTTATACAAAGAACATTATTACTTTTGATATTATTTGGACATTATTATTTCTGTTTTTGAAAAAAAAAAAATACGGAGGAGCTTTTAACAAGACCTGTCCTTCTTGGCCACGTAATGAACATTTACACAACTCAGGAAATTCTGACTCAGTAACCACATAATACATTCCTCTGAACAGTTTAGGGCTAGGAAAAAAAATCTCTCCTGAATGTCTAATATGCTTATTTTTTACTAAGCAATAAAAACTAATCAGCAGTATTCTTTTTGTTGGCTCTAGTGACTTTAGAGCTAAATATAAAGCCAAAGTATAATAATCACTATGTCTCAGGTTTCTGTTAGAATTATATTCCTACCTATCTGGCTTCTGCTCGCTCCTATGAATGAATGAATGAATGAATGAATGAATGAATGAAATTAATTTACTTATTTATTTATTTGTTTATGAGACTGGGTCTTGCTCTGTCACCCAGACTGGAGTGCAATGACATGATCTCAGTTCACTGCAGCCTCAACCTCTTGGCCTCAAGTGATCCTCCCACCTCGGCCTCCTGAGTATCTGGAACTACAGATAACACTACCATAGTTGGCTAACTTTTAAATTATTTTTTGAAGAGATGGGGTTTCATCATGTTGCCCAGGCTGGTCTCAAACTCCTGGCTCAAGTCATCTGCCTGCCTCGGACTATCAAAGTGTTGGGATTATAGGCTTGAGCCATGGCTCCTGGCCTCAATTTGTTTTTGTTCTATTATAAAGTTCTGTTATATAGGTAACAGGGTCCTGAACCATAGTCTACTGGCACCAGACTACAAAGTACTCATCTGAGAGCCTTGTTAAAATACAGATTCCCAGATATGTCCTGAGGTACTCCGATTCAGGAGGGTGGGGTTGGGTCCAGGACTCTGAATTTTTAATAGACTTTCCAGCTGTTTGGGATGTATAGTCAGATTCAGAAACCTGGGTTTTTTATGATAATTGCCTTAAATCCTTTTTTAGGGGTGGGGGAGGGGGAGAAAATAGGCACAAAATAAAATCTTGGGTTGGGCTTAGAGGTTAGAAATGTTCCTAATTTATGCCCTGCCTATAAAAGTAGACTCAATGAGAGGTTATTATCGCTCCTTTGTTGAATCCAAGAAAAGATTCTGTTCCTATTTCAGTATCCTTTTTATAAGGTTCTATATGACAAACTCCTCTGAAAGTTTAACATATCATTAAAACTGGAGCTAGTGTCTGTAAAAGGTTAGGTGAACACACTTTCCTGGCACACAGCAGTCTATCGTTTGTTTTTAAGAAGAGAGGCTATACCCTGAAAGCATGTCGTCTGGAATTACTACCTTCTGAATAGGTGGAAGTCTTCTGCTTTCTCGATGTACTGCTTCCAGGGTCTCAATGTGCATAGCTACAATCCCTAGGATGAGTCAGAGTATTCAAAATGAAAGAACACAGACAAGCAGAATAAAAACAAATTCTGGATATTTTAGAATTAAACGTTAATTAAAGTTTAGTGGTTCCTCAAAAAAGTTAAAGAGAATTACCATTATGACCCAGCAGTTTCACTTCTACATACATACCCCAAAGAAATGAAAGTAAGGACTCAAATAGATACTTGTATGTGGATATTCATGTATTATTATTTATAATAGCTAAAAGGGAGGGAGAAACAACTCAAATGTCCATCAACAGATGAATGGATAAAATGTGGGACAGCTATACCATGGAAAATTACTCAGCCATAAAAAGGAATGAAATTCTGATACATGCCACAACACGTATGAACCTTAAAAACATTATGCTAAGTGAAATAAACCAAACCCGAAAGTACAAATAGCATCTAAGTCCACTTATGTGAAATATCTAGAACAGGCACTTTATAGAGACAGAAAATACATTAGAAGCTACCAGGGGCTGCAGGATGGGGAAACAGGAGTTATTGCTTAATGGGTAGAGTGTTTGGGGTAATAAAAAAGTTTTAGAAATAGATAATAGTGATGGCTGCACAACATTGTAAATGTAATTAATGCCACTGAATTGTACACTTAGATTGTTTTATGTTATATATGTATTTTACAACAATTTAAAAACATTTTAAAAACTAATCAGAAAATAAATAAATAGCATGGCTGAACTATATGGAAGACACGTATTGCCAGGTTTTATGCTGAAACTCAATAATCTCCAATATTCTGATTCTCTAATATCTGCAAAGTGATTACCTGGTATCATGCAATGAAGGCTCTTGATGTGATCCTGAGTAACTCCACTCTCTGTACAAACTTTGTCAATAAATCGGGTAATGAATCGCACAACAGAATTGGCAATGTCATTATTCTCTGAATCTTCAAACCCACTCTCTGTATCATAGCTCTCAGCTACACTTCCTGCAATACTAAGACAGTCAAGGAAAGAAATCATGGTCAGTACTCAAATGCAACAAATGACTACTATATAGTAGTCAATTTACATAGCAATTGAAATATGATCAAAGAGATGTCTACTCAAGTAGAAGGCTCACTTAACTCCATGGCTCCTTGGTAAGTCATGGTGATAAAACACAACGTTCTACTTGTCTACATTTGGAAACTACTGTCAGGCATTATCCTTTGGACCCAGATTTGTTTCTGTAAGGAATACCTTTTGTCACTCTCCCAAAAGGAACCCAGGAACCACAGAAAATAAAGCAAAAGAGGATTCTCTCGTTTATTATGGACTACCTGGGCCTTCTAAAGCAACCTGTCCTCCCAAGTTAATTATTACATAGAGACCAAGTAATATGGCTATGTTTGGCAATTTGGCAACTGAGGAACATGTTTCCTGGTAGGCAAAGTAAGAGAATTTTTCTCAGCAACAGGCATATTCTTCGGTATGTAAGGACCAAACTGTCCTATGAACCTTTCTCTTGCCAGGATTTATCACTCTCTGAGTAAACTGCAGCCCATTTGGGTTTTAGTTTCAGTGGTATGAGAAGTCACTGGAGGGTAGAGACACGGAAGGCATGGTTGAGGATATGACTATAAGGTTGAGGAAAAGGAGGGCTGAGAAACAAACAGTCACTTTTGCAAGAAGGTGCTCACTAATTTCTCTGGAATGATTTCTGTAAATTGCTTTGGCAGACAGTAACTAAAGGGCTGGATCAGTAATGGGTGAGACATTTGGAAAAATTAGGTCATAAAAAAGAAGAGAGTGTGGGAAGTGGTTAAGAATACTAGGATGAAGTGAATCTTTTAGAGAGAAAAGCTGAAATAGTCCAAAGGTGAGGAAAAAATGGTTAACTTTTGAAATATGTTAATGGTTAACTTTTGAAATATGTCAATATGTTAATAATCAAATATGTTAAAATTTGAGCAGTATTTGCTCAAAATGTTTAATATTATCTGTCAAGCCAAGACTGGTCCCAAGAAGAGTAGGAGGAGGGTCTGTGTGTTCACATTTTGGTACCTGTTTGTGACAATGCTGTTGCTTCCGCTCTCCCAGTCACCTGGTGCTGATGTTCTTAGGAGCTTGTTTTTACTTGTGTCGAGTGGAACTAGCAGGTTCACCATGAGGTTTGCAAAGTGAATGGCCTGACTAAAGACAGTGCTTTCCTCATGTTGCACTAGCTCTTGCTGAGTTAACTTGCTCAGGGTAGGCCAAAGGCGTAGTTGCTCAGCTGCCAGGTCCATTGCTGTCTTCTCCTGATATTGGTTATCAGGAAGCTTATCCTAAAAAATAAAGCAACACAATCCAAAAGAGAACCATCACTTCAGGTGAGCTTAAAAAACATAGATGTTTTAAATAACTATTCTATTAAATGCTTACATCAGCAAAAATGAAAACATAAACAAAACATAACAACCACAAAACAAAACCTAGTCTTCTTTCCCAGATCCAACAGGCCTTGAGTGGAACTATGTGACAAACCTCAGGAAGCAGCAGCAAAGCACCTTATAGCTTGTGAAGAGCTGGTATGTCTATGGTCTCACTTGTACCTAACCTAGGGCTGGCTCCGGGATAGACTTCTTTAGAATGACTGGCAAAGAAGCAGTGACATGTGTTTGCTCTATGAATTCTTTTGAGATGTGTCAATATTAACATTACAGCTGCTTAAAAAATTATCGAAAGCACCCCCAAAGCCCAATAAATTTCTGAAGTATAATGATAATCAGCCTTTAAGGCTGCTTTAAATTCAATTCATGAGGATAACTTCTAACAGTTATTATTACTGCATGCCAGGTACTCTTCAATGCACTTTATATATTAGACACTAAAATCTCATAATAATCATATCCATTTTACCAGTGAGGAAATAAGGCACAGTGAAGTAACATGACTTGACCCAAACCAGAGAGCTAGTAAATGATATTTTAAACTTTCAGAGTATTTAAAACTACTCTTTCAAATTAAAAACAATTTCCTTGATTTTAAAATATTTTCTGATATTTTTCATAAAAATATTTTATGCTAATGAAACAGAGAGAAACATATAGAATATTCCTAGAAGAAGACCTAGATTTATTACTGGCATTTTTTAAAAATAGAACTACTAAATTTTACATTTATTTTGGAGTCAATTGACTTTAATTTGACATTCCTCCAGGAAAGTTAGTTGCATAGAGAAGTATGCCTGTTATTTTAGGTTTGTTCTTTTTTTTTTTTTTTTTTGAGACGGAGTCTCGCTGTGTCTCCCAGACTGGAGTGCAGTGGTGCAATCTCGGCTCACTGCAAGCTCCACCTCCCAGATTCACGCCATTCTCCTGCCTCAGCCTCCCGAGTAGCTGGGACTACAGGCGCCCGCCACCACGTCCGGCTAATTTTTTGTATTTTTAGTAGAGACGGAGTTTCACCGTGTTAGCCAGGATGGTCTCGATCTCCTGACCTCGTGATACACCCGCCTCGGCCTCCCAAAGTGCTGGGATTACAGGCGTGAGCCACCACGCCCGGCCTAGGTTTGTTCTTTCTACTCAACTTCCTATAATCATTTCCAGGAAATTCTTATTTATTAAAGTATATTAAAACAATCCTAGTGCTGAAGAACTGAATTAAGAAGTTATTATGGAAAAACATAATGTCTGAAAACAACAGAAGAAAGATATCACAGGGCTCCCTAAATAAAACTCAAATACACTGATAGGAAGTAGCTAGAGCTTTTTTTTGCCCTGGGAAGGTCTGCTTTCCTTAAAGCCAGAATCCTAATCCCACACAATTAGCGTTCTTTTCTTCTCTCTTACCTTTTGCTTCAGATGCGGGGCATGATTGTCTTCCTTGGCTGAGAGATAAAGAGAGCGAACCTGTTCCTGCACTGCATTGTAAAAGGTTGTCTCCCAAAACTGCTGATTTGTCCAAATGGGGTGGTCTTGTACACATGTATAAGCAAACTGGCTGACTCCAGGGGCAAGTTTCTGTGAGAATACACAAAATATATCACCATGGGGCTGGCAGAATTATAACAGTTCATAAGGTCACAGGGGCCACAGTTAATCATAGATGTGATCAAAGGATTTCTCTAAAGAATATCTTATGGTAGTACAGGCTTAGCAATCAGCAACTTACTCCTTTTTAACTGAAAACTGTGGGCTTGCTGTTGGATCCTTGAGAGTCTCAGTCACTTTATCAAAATGGGTATTTTAGTAACAGCTAAAAATCAAAGCTGTTATTATATCAATTAGAAAATACAGGAAAAGGAGGCACTGTAGATTTAGTGAATATTATTACAATTAGGGCATATAATAAAATCCATCACGATGTAAACATAAAACTCCAGATAATTTAACATTTCCTCTACTTGGCTTTAGGGTACTCTTTTTAAGAGACAGCAATTGATATGTGAGTGAACCTACAGCTTGGCCTTACACACAGAATGAGGATATAGCATGAATTAGGGACTCAGGAGAACCGCACTTTTCCTACTGCTCATTCCAGCCCATTACCTCCCCACCAAAGCTGCTGCCTGGCTCACATACTCTCTAGAAGACTGTCCTGGGCTTCAAGGGCATTTTCTGGTAACCAAATTTGTGCAGGGAAAGATAAACACAAATCAAACCGCCTTCCTTTCAGGGACTTCCTGCTGGGTTTCAGAGTAAGAGTAAACTTAAGAGATGATTAACAACAGAGGGAAGGAAAATGAACTCTGCAGGCATTTAGAAGGCACTTCATATATATTTAAGTTTGTTTAGTTCCAAAACCCCTGCTCGTTTTACAACATCAAATTGTCTTTCAAAAGAACTGAAAGTAAATCAAAATAAATTAAATGCCAAATTAACTGCCAATTAGCACTTCTGTTTTCCCCTCACTTTATGATTTTGTTTCCCAAAGTAATATTCTGCCTTGAAACCTCTAAAAAAAACTTATATAACATTGCTTTTCAAATTTTAAAGATAATTTACACTGCTAAATTTCAGTTAGTGACTTGAGTCATCTTTCTAGAACTACTTCTCTCACCTCTAAAAGTTAAGGATGTTTCAAATTTTAAAAAATTCATAATTTTCCAAGAAAAAGTAGGTACCATTTTCAATAAACATTTTTTTGGCCCATTTTATTCTTTGGAATTGAGTTCATCTATTTTCTGTGAGTAGAACTAAAGTTTCTGATAAGTTTTCTTTTGAAGCAATTTAATAAGCCGAGTCTCTTCTGAAATGTTGGACACTGAAGATGATTACTAAGGTTATATAACAGTTACACAACAAAAGTTGGTTTATTTCTTAGGAATGTATACCAGATATATAAGACATCTGGTAAAAATTATATGCTTAATACATGCTAATCTCCTTTTTGGTCTAGAGCTGGAATAGGTATCATGAATACCACAAAACGTAGTGCCTGTGTAGTCAGAAGCCAGGTGGTTGTGATTCTGCCTTGAAGAGTCTCTGTGTACTACATGCCATGTGTAAGACCTTTTCAAGATAGGACTGTGTTACTGCTGCTGAGCTAACTGGCTATAACCTCAATTCTCCCTATTAAGTGGCTGTAAGTTGTGGCTATGAAGCAAAAATCAGGAGTTCTTTGAGGGTGCACAGGGATCACTGTTGGATTTCATGTCGTCTATCTGCTCATTTAACAAACAGCTACTGTCTACCTATGGGAAATCATGAAAAAAATGTGTGCGGTTTTGTGAGTGCGTAAGCAGAAGCCACACACACTGAATCACAAGCTCCTTATATACTCTGCATGAAGACACTTGGGACATGGATTACACACTTTTTCCTCCTTCATTTTTTAGTCCTTTACTGTAAGGACCAGCAATTATTTCAGTAGCAGTACACAAGCCTATTTTGTTTTTTTTGTTTTTTTTTGAAGCGGAGTCTGGCTCTCTTGCCCAGGCTGGAGTGCAGTGGCCGGATCTCAGCTCACTGCAAGCTCCACCTCCTGGGTTCATGCCATTCTCCTGCCTCAGCCTCCCGAGTAGCTGGGACTACAGGCGCCCGCCACCTCGCCTGGCTAGTTTTTTGTATTTTTTAGTAGAGATGGGGTTTCACTGTGTTAGCCAGGATGGTCTCGATCTCCTGACCTCGTGATCCGCCCGTCTCGGCCTCCCAAAGTGCCGGGATTACAGGCTTGAGCCACCGTGCCTGGCCCACAAGCCTATTTTGAAACAGTTTTTTTTTTTTTTTTAGACAGGGTCTGGCTTTGTCACCCAGGCTGGAGTGCAGTGGCATGATCGTGGCTTACTGCAGCCTCAACTTCCCAGGCTCAAAAGATCCTCCCACCTCAGCCTCTCTAGTAGCTGTAGTAGCTGGGACTACAGGTGTGCACCACTATACCCAGCTGTTTTTTGTAGAAAAATTTGAAACTGGGAGGTGGAGGTTGCAGTGAGCTGAGATGGGGTTTTTGTAGAGATGGGGTTTCATCATATTTCCCAGGTTGGTCTTGAACTCCTGGGCTCAAGTGATCTACCTGCCTTGGGCTCCCAAAGTGCTAGGATTATAGATGTGAGCCACCATGACCAGCCTGAAAGAGATTTTAAAGGCACTAAACTCAAATGAGATAAAACTGTAATTCTCAACTGCCTTTACCATGAGTATACTAAGGGCAGTACCATTTCTTACAAATGCAGCATAACATAATCAACGGCGACTCTAAAAATGTTGAAGTCTTGAAATTATATTAATATAGATAAGCTCCAAAAAAAACGAGCTTTAAACAAATCCTTATCAGATTCTCATAAAGCACTTTTAGGACAATCAACACACCAAAAAAGTTATTAATTAAACATCTTTTATTAAAACTTAACAGAGATGTACAGGAATCTGAGTGTATAATGAAGCCCCACCTTTCTTCAGCATTTTTCTCACTGATGGTGTATATTTGCTTTCCTTGGCACATGTGAGTTGACATTACAGGTTGAATGTCCCTTATCTGAAATACTTGGGACCAGAAGTGTTTCAGATTTTGGAATATCTGCATTATATTTACTGGATGAACATTCTAAATCTGATAATCTAATATCTGAAATGCTCCAAGGAACATTTCTTCTAAGTATCATGCCAGCCTGCTAGAAGTTTAGAATTTTGGAGCATTTTGGACTTTCTTTTTTCTTTTTGGAGACAGGGTCTCATTCTGTCACCCAGGCTGATGACAATCATAGATCATTGCAGCCTAGAACTGCTGGGCTCAAGGGATCCTCCCGCCTTAACCTCCTGAGTAGCTAGGACTATACGCATGTACTGCCATGCCTGGCTAATTTTAAAAAATGTTTTTTGAGGCCAGGCACAGTGGCTCATGCCTGTAATCCAAGCACTTTGGGAGGCTGAGACAGGCAGATCACTGAAGGTTGGGAGTTTGAGACCAGCCTGGCCAATACGGTGAAACCCCATCTCTAGTAAAAATATAAAAATTAGCTGGGTGTGGTGGCGGGCACCTGTAATCCCAGCTACTTGGGAGACTGAGGCAGGAGAGACACTTGAATCTGGGAGGCGGAGGCTGCAGCGAGCTGAGATCGCGCCACTGTACTCCAGCCTGGGCAACAGAGCGAGACTCCATCTCAAAAAAAAAAAAAAGAAAAAGTTTCTTGAGACAGGTTTTCACTATGTTGCCCAGGCTGGTCTTGAACTCCTGGCCTCATGCAATCCCCCCACCTCGGCCTTCCAAAGTGCTGGGATAGGATTAGGCCACCAAGTGTGGCCCAAATTTTTGAATTAGAGATACTCAACCTGTATCTTCATGTTTATTCACAAACTAAAAGTTGAATATGCAAAAACTAATCTAAGTAATTTGAACAAAAGGGGGACTATATATGTCCCAAGGAAGAAAAATGGTGCAAGACAGAGTGACAGTGGCCCAAAGGGGCCCACAGCCTGCTTACTAGGTGAGAATTACAGCAGGGTAAAGTGACTATAGTACAAACACTTGGTGGCAAGACAGACACAAATGGCTATGGCATCTGTGATAGTGGCAGTCGTCTTAGTAAACAGAGAAAATAAGGGCCTGTAGATAAAACGATCTTCTGATATGTGCATTAGAAATCATTAACCTCCAAATACTTAAAATATTATTCTTTTTCTAGACATGCAATTTGCCTTCTTTCTTTGTGGTTTCTTGCTTTGTCTGGTCAACCACAAGCAAGGAGCCCTGTGTGCCTCAGTGAGGATGGGCAGGGCCATTTCACTGATGGGTGTTCTCAGGACCAGCAGAGGGCAGTATCACTTTATTCTGCCTAGACGCTATCATGGCTTGATCTACAAATTGCAAAAATGGAACTTTGCAGTCAGCTTGGGATAGAAAGTGGGTGGTAAGGTAAATATTTCAGGTGTTCACTGTGCATTTGGGAGAATCTATAAAGAAAAAGAACTGTTCAGGGTCATATGGCAAGATGAGTAGAACAGATGGGAATAGAAATAAAGCTTTCCATTACTCTATGTTGTCTCTGTAAGATACAAAATTAAGATATTTTACAAACAAACCTGTAATATAATTATGTAGAAAAAGATGTAATGAGACTTTAGGGTTTCAAATTCAGTATAACCTGGGACAGTAGCAGTAGTTTTAGTAAACAGAGAAAATAAGCATCTACGGATAAAACTATCTTCTGATTGTAATAATTTATTTTTAAAAATTTTCTTTATTATTTTGTATTTAATTTTTTTATTCTAATAATTTCCCTGGTTTGAAGAAAAAACTTTCCCAAGACAAGATGGTTTTACAAATTGGTCTGTACACTAGCATCATAATCTTTTAACACTGCACAAAGATGAGATTTAACTCATACTGAGGGTGTGAGAGCGGTGGTGCTGGTTGGGAATGCTTTTGCCAAATCACATCTCTCATTCTCTTCAATTCTGGCAACAATATTTATATTTCATAATAATTTTTATGATTCTGTCCTAAGGAAACAAGTGATATTGTGCCATGCAATTTTATGAGATGTTTAAGAATGCGTTGACTTTCTTCTTTATCTAGAAAAAATAGCCCTTGAAGATACCAGATTAAGCAATGCCATTCATTTTCCACAAAGCTTTCAAAGGAAACCCAGCATGGGACAGGATATGAAGAATAAACTCATGGGGCTCACCTACCAGCAGGCCAGTTTCAAATCCAAATAAAGGACGTAAATCATCTGAGAGATGAGATGGTCCAGGGAAAGGTTAAGATATCAGCATGAGGGGCCTGTCAAAGGCCTGTCTGGCTAGATATGTTTGTTCCCCAAGCTCAAGGCTCTAGTTTGGGATCTCAGGGAAAACCGGATTTCAGGAAAGAAGGCTAGCTGGCAGGACTTATCCATAAACATGTAATGGTCTTAAAGAATAATGCAGAGATTCATTGTTTAAATTGCTGGTGATTTCCTATCTAGTTCTGGTCCCTGGAATTTAAGTGTACCTAACTAACCGCACAATTCAAGGATGGTGCTAGCAAGTCCTCCTGTGATTCTGCTCTGGTCTCACCAAGTCCAGATAATAAATCACTTTAATAGTTAATTTTAGAGCATTTTCTGATGAAATTGGGAGTCTTTCTTTTGCTTAGTCTTGAGAGACAAACAAAAGGAAGATAGGAATAGGAAAAATATGTATCCAAAACCTGGCTTTATCACATCTTAAACATATTTGCTTTGTCCCTCCCCCCCCTTTTTTTTTTAAAGAAAGGACATAGAATACATACAAGTCCATTGTATACCTCTCCTGATTCTATTTCTTTCCTATCCTAGAGGTGACCATTATCATGAATTAGGTATTATCATTCCCATTTTGTTTTTTACCTGTGTATGTCCATAAAGAATATATCAGTTATATTGCAGGTTTTATTCTATCCCTTATTGATGCTTTTCATGTATATAACTCATACTTCATCTATTTATGTGATATCTAACAAAACTATATAATTAATTGGGACAAAACACAACTGGCTTTTGTAAACATACAACTCAGCAGGAGCAGAAAGAGAATGGCCTATAAGCAATGAGTATTTAGAATATTATGTTCATTAGTTAGTGGGATTTACAGAATAGTGAGTAATCCATTTAGTTAAATGGGGTGACTATAAGCGTATTGCACATTTTTTCCTGTTTTACTACCTGATACTCAGAGATTGAACAGTACAAGTATCCTTAAACTCAGAATAGTCTATACCCCTTCTGGATTGCTCCGAAGATCGAGGCATACAATTTCTGCATGAGAGGCATATTCATCCACCAGCATTGTCCAGTATTCACTTGATGTGCCAGGTTCTATAAATGTCAGTAGTTGGGATGATAGGATTAAAGTCCTTTTTTTTCAAAACATAGTCTCGTCTTGTGACCCAGGCTGGAGTGCAGTGGCACAAACGAGGCTCACTGCAGTCTTAACCTCCTGGGCTCAAGCAATCCTTTTGCCTCAGCCTCCCATGTAACTGGGACCACAGGCATACACCACCATGCCTGGCTAACTTCTGTATTATTTGTAGAGATGGGGTCTCACTTTGTTGCCTAGGCTGGTATCAAACTCCTGGGCTCAAGTGATCCTCCCGCTTTGGCCACCCAAAGTTCTAGGATTAAAGCCATGAGCCACCAGGCCCAGCTGAACTCCAGTTTTAAACCACTTAGCCTTCTAATGATTCTGTGTCTTAAGTTGTTTAGTAAATATCAAGAGTTCAGAGGATAAATCAATTTCTTTCCTTTGTGGTCCAGAAATTTGTAGACATCAAATGCAAGACAGTTGTCAAGTCCTTTGCCTGGATTTGGTGGTCTCAAAAATATAAGATACGATCTAAATTCTCCTAATCCTCTTATTTTTGGCCGGTTTTAATTTTTTTTTTTTTTTTTTTTTTTGAGACAGGGTCTCATTTGTTGCCCAGACTACGGTGCAGTTGGCATGATCTTGGTTCACTGCAGTCTGAACCTCTGGGGCTCAAGTGATCCTCCCACCTCACCCTCCTGAGTAACTGAGACTACAGGTGTGCATTACCATGCCTGGCTAATTATTAAACAAAATTTTTGTAGAGATGGGGGTCTCACTATGATGCCTAGGCTGGACAATTTTATACAAGTAGTACAATGTTGTGTTTCATTCTGCAACTTGGTTTTTCATGCATTATGTTGTTAGATTTATTCAGGTAATGAGAATTATCTGACAACTAAAAATATCTCTGTAAAAAGTCTTTAAAATAAGAAAAAATTATTATAACCAACCTATTCTGAGTATAATACATTTTCAGTATAAATATTTATCAACTCAGTTAATCCTCACTACAATCTTATGACCCGCTGAGATAGGTACCATTATTTCCCCTGTTTAAAAATGAGGAAATAGCCAGGCTCGGTGGCTCATGCCTGTAATTCTAGCACTTTGGAAGGCTGAGGCACGTGGATCACCTGAGGTCAGGAGTACAAGACCAGCCTGGTCACCATGGTGAACCCCTATCACTACTAAAAATACAAAAATTACTAAAAATACTAAAAATACAAAAATTAGCTGGGCGTGGTGGCACATGCCTGTAATCCCAGCTACTTGGGAGGCTGAGGCAGGAGAATGGCTTGAACCTGGGAGGCAGAGGTTGCAATGAGCCAAGGTCGTGCCATTGCACTCCAGCCTGGATGACAGAGCAAAACTGTTTCAAAAAAAACCCAAAAAAGTGGGGGGTGGGGATTGAGGCAAAAAGAAGTGACTCGTTCAAGGGAACACTGATAGGGAGTGACAGGCCAGAGATGGGATTTGAACCCAGCCAGTTTGGCTTATAGAGTCTTGTTTTTCAACTACTGCACAATTTAACTATTGTATGGAATTCCATGGTATGAATATACAGCGTTGTCTTGTTCCTGTTAATAGACAGTTGTATTATTTCCAACTGTTTGCTATTATAAACAATGATGCATAAATATCATCATATATTTCAACTGTCAACTATTGATTATTGGTTTTAGCACCATTTAGTAGGGCCTGGAAGTACTTGACACGGGTCCCAGTAAATGTGGTAATTCTCATTGTTATCTATACCAATAAGCATTTTGGGGTTATTGCATATTGGTTATTTTTCTAATAAGAAATTATTTCATGTAGGTATTTTGCAAATCTACTATTTTAAAAAATTAACAGTAATTCTTTAATATCAGGAAGTCCTAGCCAAACAATCTTAAAATTCATATGGAATCACATAAGAAAGACCCTGAATAGCCAAAGCAATCCTGAGGAAAAAAAAAAAAACAAAGCTGTAAGCATCCCACTATCTGACTTCAAAATATTCTATAAGGCTATATTAGCCAAAACAGCATGGTACTGCCATAAAAACAGACTCATTGACTAAAAAAGCAGAATAGAGAACCCATAAATAAATCTATGTATGCATAGCCAACTGATTTTCCACAAGGGTGCCAAGAACAGATACTGGGGAAATAACAATCTCTCCAATAAATGGTGTTGGGAAAACTGGATATCCATACGCAGGAAAATGAGACTAGACCTCCATCTCTCACCTTATACAAAAATCAAATCAAAATGAATTAAAGACTTCAATGTAAGACCTGAAACTATGAAACTACTGGAAGAAAATATTGGGGAAATGCTGCAGGACATTGGTCTGGGCAAAGATTTCTTGGGCCAAGACCTCAAAAGCACAGGCAACAAAGAGCAAAAATAGACAAATGGGATTATATCAAGTTAAAAAGCTTCTGCACAGCAAAGGAAACAATCAGCAAACTAATGAAACAACGTACAAAATGGAAGAAAATATTTACAAACTATCCATCCAACAAGGGATTAATAACCAGAGTATATAAGGAATGCAAGCAACTCAAAAGCAAAAAACTGACTAAAAAAATGGGCAAATGATTGAGCAGACATTTCTTAAAAGAAGACATAAAAATGGTCGACAGGCATATTTAAAAATGCTCACCATCAGGCCAGGCGCTGTGGCTCACGCCTGTAATCCCAGCACTTTGGGAGGCCGAGACGGGTGGATCACGAGGTCAGGAGATCGAGACCATCCTGGCTAACACAGTGAA